CACATGCAAACAAACAATCCAATGGACCGTATCACTGTCAGTCACTATCATCCTGAATCCAAAATAACTAGATGGTGCCAGGCTGCAGCAGCTAACTGCTCTGAATTAGAAGGTCCTGGAGAGAGTGGGAGAATATGTGGAACAAAACTCAAAATCATGAAAAAGAACAGGCTTCTGGAAAGGACAAAGACTGGGGAAACCCTCAAGACAACCCCTGTGGCTCAGTTTTCAGTGAAACCATACTAATGGTTTCCGTAATAATTGTGTGGTACATCAGCCACTTAATACAATAAGAACTGCATGCACCCACAATAAAATTCAGAGTTAGAGAAGAGGAGCAGAGATGGAGATAGGAAACCAGGGGAAGAAGCATAGGTGGTGGCACATTGAGGAGACTGTAACAGATGAGATGAAAGGAATATGAATTGTTGAATGTAAAAGTGATAATCTGCTTTGTAAACCTTCAACCAATTCACAATTTAAAAAAAAGTTCTTAAAGTCATCAATTAAGAGGTTTAAAAGCCTGACTTTCATACCTTTCTCTCATTCTAAACTGTACTCTTTGAAGATTTATAGTGCAATAAAAAGAGATCAATAGCAATGTGCACACACACACCTACTATACAGTGTATTCACCTATGACAAGTGTCATGTTTTAAAGCATCACCTGAAAAAAAAAAAAAAAAAAGCATTACCTGTATGATGTTTTGCATGCCGCAGAAGTTGTTTCTGGAGCCTGAAGAGCCGTCCACAGGAGGGATGGGGACATACGTACTTTTTCTTTAGCAAATGCTGATATTTAATGTGGTGCTAAAACAATAAAAGTAAAAAGCGTTACAAATAAGGTGACTTCTTTATAACTTTTTTTTTTTAATTTGCTAACTCGAAAGCACATAAGGAAAACCAATTATTTTTTTCTAAGTTTAGGAAGGCAGTACATGTTGACTGAGAACACAGGCTCTCCTGAAATATAGGCACCTAGGTTCCAATCTGGGTGTGCCATCCACCAGCAGTACAATCTTAGAGGTTATTACTATTAGGCGTGGAGCCATCCCACATGTACAACAAAGCAAAACACTGCCTGGCTTGGTGCCATCCTCACAGTGCTTGAGTTCACTGTTGCAGCTACTGTGTGTCAATCCACCTCAGTGATTTTTTTTTTTCTTGCTGACCCTCCTCATACTTTATCATGCATGATGTACTTTTCTAGTAACTGGTCTCTCCTAACAACATGTCCAAAGTAATCCTCGCCATCCTCACTACTAAGGAGCAATCTGGCTATACTTCTTCCAAGACAGATTTGTTTTTCTGAAAGTCTATTGTACTTTCAGTTTTTCAAATGCTTCCATTTTCTCTCCAGTCCACCCTATTATCTATCCAGCGTTCACAAGCATATGATGCCACTCAAAATGCCTTAGCTTTTGAGTGGCACACCATAGTCTTCAAAGTAACATCTTTGCGCCTAACACTTTTGCTCCTAAAAGAGGTCTTGTGATTTGTCCAATACAATGGGTTATTTCATATGACTGGCTGCTTTAATGAGCAGTGACTATGGATCCTAGCAAAATGAAATCTTTGACAGCTTTTGATATTTTCGTCATTTATCATGAAGTTGTCTATTGTTCAAGTTGTGAGGATTTTTGTTTCCTTTACACCGAGTTGCAGAAAGGCTTTCAATTTCCATAAGGATTTAGTCTTAGAAACCCACAGGGACAATTCTACCATGTCCTACCAATGTTGCTATGAGTTGGAATCCACTCCATAGCAATGAGTTTGGTTTGGAGTTACAGAGGTATAATCCATACTGAAGACTGTTGTCTTAGATCAACAGTAAGCGCTTTAAGCCCTCTGTTTTCAGCAAGCCAGGTTGTGTCATCTGCATATCACAGGTTATTAGTGAGCCCTCCTTACTCCGCAGGAGCCCTGGTAGCATAGAGGATACACACTAGGCTGGGCTGTGGCCTGCAAGGTCAGCAGTTGCACAGCCCGCTGTGAGAGAGAAAGACCGGGCTTTCAATTCCCATGTCTCAGAATCTCACAGGGCAGTTCTACTCTGCACTACAGATTCGCTATGAGTCTGCATCAACTTGATGGCAGTGAGTTTCAGTTTGGTTTTGCTTTCATTCCTTACTCCAATCACAAAGCCCTATTCTTCATGTAGTCCAGCTTCTGTAATTCTTTGTACAGTATAAAGATTGAATAATTATGGTGAAAGCGCATAATATAAACTCATACCTTTCCTGTTTTTAGACCATTCAGTATCTCTCCTTGCTCTGTTGAAGTGACTGCCTCTTGGTCTATGTACAGGTTCTGCATAAACATAACTTGGTGTTTTGGAATTCCAATTCTTTGCAATGTTATCTTAAAAGACACGTACTTAAAATATTTGTATTGTCTAGCTCTAATTTGTTAAAACAAGTATAAAAACTGTCTCATTATGGTAATAAAGAGACCGTATGTTGTACATTTAGCTGACACTAAGTAAGAAGATAGGAAGTTATCATGAAAGAATTACAATAGCTAACATGATAGTAAATTATAAGATAGTCAGAATTTAAAAGTAATACCTAGACTGTCTCATATTGTTTTTTCAGCTAACCTAAACATAAAATAATTATTGCCTAAGGTTTGTTGTTAGGTGCCATGGCGTTGGTTCTGACTCATAGCAACTCTATGTACAACAGAAGGAAACACTGCCATCTGGGGTCACCCCCCAATTGTTATGTTTGAGTCCATTGTTGCAGCCACTGTGTCAACCTATCGTGTTGAAGGTTCTTCTCGTTTCATTGCCCCTCTACTTTACCAAGCATAATATCCTTTTCCAGAAACTTGTCTCTCCTGACATGTCCATAGTATGGTGCAAAGTCTTTCCATCCTTGCCCCAAGAGCTTTCTTCTGTCTGTTACTTTTTCCAAGATTTGTTTGGTGTTTTGGTAGCCCATGGTACTGTCTAAGCTTTAGTCATTACTTTTTCCAAGATTTGTTTGGTGTTTTGGT